AGCCAAGAAGAGACTGAACCAGCTTCCATACTCTCAATTAATAGAAAAGAATGTTCAGGAGTATCCCCAAATTATCTTCATATAAACCCTAGCCTCTGATTCTCATGAACATCACTGCTACATTTATTATCTTCAGGTATTATATCTTCTTACAAAACAGTAAAGACAGTCATGGTCTAGAAGCTAAGATCAGTGTACATTATATCCATCTAATACAATTATTATACACATAGTAAACAAGCTAACCCACAAAATGTACTTAGATAACTTACAGCTCAGACATAAAAATGTTGATTTTTATACATTTTGTACATATTTTCCTAGGATTCAAAAAGTAAAATAAACAGGGTGCAATGGCACACACCTGTAATCCCAGCAGCTCTGGAGGCTGAGGCAGGAGGACTGCAAGTTCAAAACCAGCCTCAGCAATTTAGGGAAGCTCTAAGCAACTCAGTGAGACTTTGTCTCTTTATAAAATGAAAAAAAAAATGCTGAGGATATTTCTCAGTGGTTAAGAGCTCCTAGGTTCAATCCCTAGTACAAAAACAAAAAGTAAAATAATTAGAAAATGCCAAGTGAGTACTAGTGGCCCCTTCTACTTCTCAGACATGAAATAACTGAGCAGACAGGGAATAATTAGAAACCTCATAAATAATAATAAGCTATTTTTTCCAACAAATAAGGGCTTAGTTCTCTAGATTCTATACCATAAGTAAATGAAACCCTTTACATTTAAAAGTTTATTTCAATCACCAAAATTTTTGAACTTCTCATGTAAAAGCCAAGCTGAATGTAAACTTTGTTCAGGTTCCTCATCTGAGCTTATCTTATTTAACAGAGGCAGGAAGCAGAAATATACAATTTAGCCTATTAATTTATTCAAGAACAATTCATGACCCATGGTAGCTTCAGACATTTCCCTTTCTATACAGAGGTATTTATAATTAACTGGAGTGTCTGTCTCTAAAGTTCAAAAGTCTTTATATGTGATAATTCTGTATTGGTGGAGTGTATCTTCAGATCTTTTATATAATAGGTCGCATTTTTATCCCAAAACAAATCATTAAATTGAAAAAAAGAAGATTCAAAAATTCATCTGAAGTCGTAGCATAACTATTACTTGTTGCCTTGGAAAGAATGGCTAAAATGCTTACTGGGGAAAAAAGGCTAAAAAGGCATTTAGAAAGTTTTGTAAGAGTATCATAGACATGAAGTTCACACTGGAGGCCTCATCACAATGTCACCAAAAACATAAAATCACGGTGCCCACTAAAATGCATGGCGTAAAAAGCCAATCTCTAGCCTTCCATCTAGCTTATTTGTTTCTCTGGCAATTATTTGTTTAGCCTCTTTAGTTTGGCCAAGTACTATGTCAAACCCTGAAGATCCAAACATCAAGAAGACAGGAAAGGAAACCTAAAACTGAAAAGAAAAAAAAAATGTTAACTTGGATGGCTGTATAAATGATTAATCCACCCAAGTCAAAAAATATACATTAAAGCCACAGAATGAAAGTCAGCTAATATTTTAGTAAGGGACAAAATACAACATGAATAAAGGATAAAATTATCATCCTTAAAATGTCCTCTCTCCAATGATAATGATGATAGGCTTCAGTAAAATTCCCTATCATTTGCAAATACTTAAAGACCTCAATACTTAACTTCCAAACTGTTCTCTCTCTCTCTCTCTCTCTCTCTCTCTCTCTCTCTCTCTCTCACACACACACACACACACACACACACACACACACACACACACAGCCTAATTTACAAGCATTAGCACATACTTCTGAATACATTCAAGAATTATAATTTTCAAAATGAAAATCAGCAATAAGAGTATTTGAATCGAATAATTAAATGACAACTAAATCTATATCTCTTTTTCTCCTCACTCACCCTCTAAAGAAATCCTCTATATGAATCATGGAGCCACAACTGATCTCCAGTTCAGTCACCCCCTGGAGGAAGCCACTCCTTGAGATAAGCTCATAGTATTAAGGACAGGGTTGCAGCACCTTGTGGCATATCTAAGAAAATGGTCCAGCCCTCAGGCTTCAAGATTCAAATCTGAATTAAATTTCAGTGGACTACAGAGTAGTACAATTCCAAGAGAGAAAAAGTGGAAAACATGAGTTCAAACAAACTTCTACCACAATCAACTGAAAATGATCATAGAAGAACTAAATGCTTCCTATTTATATCACCACATATCTGGTGCTTCTCTGATCTTGACTAAATTAATTTTAAGCTGGTTATTAGGTTCTTAGAATCCTACGTTCAGAACTAGAAAACATAGTTGAAGAGCACAGTCCAACGCTCTTTTACAACTGTTAAAACTGAGGTTGAAGCAAGTTAGATAACTTGCCCAAATAGCTAGAAAATAGCAAATAAGAATCCACACTGCCTGACACCTGATTTATCACTCTCTCTATTCCTTGTTACTCATATTTGACATATATTTATTGAATGTTAACCATGTAAAATATACCTAGGAATTACAAAGCTGAATACAATCATCCCCTCATGGAACCTTAAAAAAAAATGGTTGGGTTCAGGTAACATTTTCAGTTTTAATGCAAATTATCACACAAAGCTTTATTTGGAATTTTAGAGTGATATCTGAAATTAACTCTCCTTATAACTCCAATTCATAATTTCTAACTGAATCCTTCTATCCTCTTTATAGACCTTCCAAATACAAAGGGGGATATGAGGTGGAATATTGGTCATGGTGGTAGTGAGGAAGAGGATGGGGAGGAGGAGGAAAGCAATGAAGATGATAATACCAACTTTCAGACATTTACTCTGACAGCTATTATTCTGAATCCTTTGTATATTTTAGCTTATTTAATACTCCTAGCTACTCTAAGAGGAAGATACTATTATTGTGTCTATTTTACAAACACAAGAAATGTGTATGTCAATTGCTCCTTCAGAGGGTGGTTAGGGTTCACCCTGAGGCATGACTTCATTGCTACTATCTCCCAGGCTCCCAGCTCTTGGTTTTTCCTTGAGCTGGAAATTACCCTGCCCCTCTGGATCTGGATTCCTTCATCTGTGAAATGACAGAGTGGGAAAAAGACGATTTCCAATGGTTCTTTTAGGTCTAACACCCTGTGATTTATGGCATTTAACCAATCTCCC